GTACTTTTACTTTTAATACTTAAGTAGATTTTGTGTCAGAATTTTGCTTTTGATACTTCAGTACAAAAAATATCAGATACTTTAAGACTTTGACTCAAGTAATATTTTTAGAGAAGACTTTAACTTTTACCAAAGTATTTTTTATGATAAGATACTTGTACTTTTACTCAAGTATCACTTTGAGGCACTTTATACAACACTGGCTGCAGGAGGCCCTCTGTCTGATCCACGGCGCTCTGGAGAGCAGGACGCACGCCTCTACCTGTGCAGGTGAGTCTGTTTGTGCGCTTGGTCAGCTCAGTCTCATTATAAAAGATTTTATTTTGTAAACTCTGATTCAACTTTCACACACTTGTTCTTATTTTGCTGAACATTTTTTAAAATCTATTTAGCATCTGCATAGTTTTTGCTGTTTTATATTCTTACATCAAAAGTTTTAATCATTTATTCACAAATATCTTCCTCATAGCAGTAAACTCAAGTTTCTTCAGTTTATTCAGAAAGTTCTTTTGAAATCTGCTTCCGAACATTTAGCTACTTTTAGTTTTTAGTTACTGTTCTGGCACTTATTTTAGCTAGACTTTTGCTAATTTTTTGCCAGCCTTTAGCTTCCATTCTGCTAGCTGAGCTTTTGGCTGGCCTGTTAGCTCATTAGCATCGTAGTTTTTAGTGTTTTCTACTCGACTAGCATTTTTCTGCTTTTAGCTTTTGCTGAAGTTTGGCTACTTTTGCAAAATTTTGACTTTTAGTTACTGTTTTCTTAGTTTTAGCTTTTGTCTAGCCTGTTCTTAATTTTAGTTTGCCTTTTGCTACTTTTAGCATCGCACTGTTTTTTTTTTCAACTTTTAACTTTTAATTAGATTTTTTTCTTTTCAGCCTTTAGCTGGACTAGTGTTTTTCTCCTTTTAGCTTGTATTTTGCTTTTTTTTTTCTTTTAGCGTTTAGCTAGTCTATGCATTTCAAAAAATTCATTTGCGTCAGCATTTATTCAATTCAAATTCTTCATTTCTTTTTTCCATCAGGGTCTGAAAGACCACCTCAGTCTTGGAGGATCTGGTCCAGGCTGTGGAGCTCAGTGAGGGGGTCACAGGTCAGAGATGGGCAGAAGTTAAGAAGGACCAGAGCGAATCTGTTCACTGAAAAAACTGTCCATTTTACCAAGTTTTAAAATCTTATATCAGCCAAAAAGTCTTTTTGATCTTGTTTTGACTAAACAAGAACTGATTGTGTAAGAATAATAATCTTGTTTTCAGAATGTGTAAGATTATTTGTCTTGTTAGTCTGAAAATTTGACTGAAATTAAGTCAAAACTTTCTGCCAATAGAGACAGAAAATTTTACTTGGTAAGATTCTTGAAATAAGTATAAGTTATTGTGCAGGTGGAGCACCTGATCTTATGACTCTGACAACAGACAGGTGTAACCAGTCAAACCTGATAATCCTCAGACATCAGACCTGCTGTTTCACTTCTTTCTACAGAATATTTAAAGGTTTCACAGCTTGAACTGAAGGTGATTTAATAAAAACACAATATGCTCAGAAAAAAACTGTTTTTTTATTGCAAACTAGATTTTTTAATAAAACTCTTCACACTTGTTCTTTTTCAACAGCTAAACAGGATTTTTTTAGTTTTTGAAACAATAAGAATAAAAAATAAATAGCTAAAAATGTGATTCTAAGCGAATCTATGAAGTGAATGATTGAACCCCAGGTTTATTTTGGACCATAATCCTGTATTTTTTGTGTGTTTTTCAGATTGTTTCTTCAAGCAGGGCGACTGGTGTTACGCTCTCCTCGACTAGCAGCAGGCCGAGGAGATGTCACCTGACGATGCAGCCGTGTGGCTCCGCCTCGCCGTCATCTACAACACGCCGGGCTCCTTCCGCTTGCAGAATGGGTCAGGACCAACATGTACAGTTTAAAGCCCCACAGCGGGTAAAATAAGTATTGAACACGTCACCATTTTTCTCAGTAAATATATTACTAGAGGTGCTAATGACATGAAATTTTCACCAGATGTGTCGGTAACAACCCAAGTGATCCATACATACAAAGAAATCAAACCATAAATGTCCAGAAATGAAGTTATTTGTAATAATGTGGAATGGCACGTATGGATCACTTTGGGTTGTTACCAACAACATCTGGTGAAAATTTCATGTCATTAGCACCTCTAGTAATATTTTTACTGAGAAAAATGGTGACGTGTTCAATACTTATTTTACCTGCTGTATGTACATGTTTGCCAGTGCAGCGATGAGAATGCGTGTTTATTTTTATCCATTTTGGTCAAGCTGCTTCCCGTCCGACATGTCCTGAGCAACATTCAAGTTGTGTTGGAATAAACAACTTTCTCACTAGAAAAATAATTAGAAT